AAAAAAAAAAAAAGGAATTATATATGTGAGATCAGTAGCAACTAAAAGTTTTGATGGGAAGCCTCGGGGGCAGTGAGTTGAAGATAATGGTGATGGAATAATTTGGAAAAGGATAGAGAGAATAGTAGCACAACTGGAAGAACATAATCAATGTCACTGAATTGTACATGTAGAAATTTTTGAAATGGTGTATCTTTGGCTATGTATATTTTCACCAAAAAAGAAAAAAGGTCCTCCAAGGTCGAGGAGCGAGAGTGTTGACATGTTGTGGGGTTGTTAACCAACGTCATAAAACAATATGCGTACTAACTGTCTAATGAGAAACTATTCATTCTGTAAACCATCACCTAAAGTACAATTAAAAAAGAAAAAAAAATGTATCAATCATAAGTGTGCAGGTCAAAGAATTTCAAAAACTATACATACCCATGTCACAGCACATGGATCAAGAAATAAGACATCACTGGCACCATGAAGCCCCTCTTCCTTCTTTCCAGTATCTCTCATGTCCCAAGGGTAACTGCTCCCCTGACAACTAACACCACAGATTAGTTTTGCACCATAAATAAATGGAATCATATAGTATGTACTCCTTTGTGTCTGGCTTTTTTTGTTCAACATTGCATTTGTGAGATGTGATCTTATATTTTTAATAAGCATCTTCAGAAGTGAGTCTGTAGGTGGTCCCAAACAATATTTTGAGAAATACTACCCTTGATAATATTAGGCAGCTAGGTGGTACAAATAGTTAAGTGATTGACTACTAGCTGCAGGGTTGGTGGTTTGAAACCATCTAGAGGCACACTGAAAGACAGGCCTGGTGGTCTGCTTCTGAAAGGTTGAAGCCTTGAAAACCCTATGGAGCAGTTCTACTCTGCACGCATGGGGTCACCATGAGTCAGAGTTGACTTGATGGCCACTAACAACAACCACCACACTTGATAGTAGATTGAATCAGATTACAGGCAGTCCCTGGATTATGAACGACTTCGTTTCTAAGTCTGTCTTTAAGTCAAATTTATAAGTAAGTTGGAACAGTTAGGTACAGTTCATATCTAATGCAGTTAGTCAAATGTTTATCTTGTTATTGTTGTTAGGTGTCATCGAGTTGGTTCCAACTCATAGCGACCTTATGTACAACAAAATGAATCACTACCAGGTCCTGTGCCATCTTCATGATTGTTGTTATGCTTGAGCCCGTTGTTGCAGACACTGTGTCAGTCCATCTCGTTGAGGGTCTTCCTCTTTTTCGCTGACCCTCTACTTTACAAAGCATGACGTCCTTCTCCAGGCACTGGTCCCTCCTGATAACATGCCCAAAGTATGTGAGATGAAGTCTAGCCATCTTCACTTCTAAGGAGTATTCCAGCTGTACTTCTTCCCAGACAGATTTGTTTGTTCTTTTAGCAGTCCATGGCATATTCAATATTCTTTGCCAACACCATAATTCAAAGATCGCAATTCTTCTTTAGTCTTCCTTATTCATTGCCCAGCTTTCACGTGCATATGAGGCGACTGAAAATACCACGGCTTGGGTTAGGCAAACCTTAGTCTTTAAAGTGACCGTCTTTGTTTTTAACACTTTAAACAGGTCTTTTGCAGCAGATTTGCCCAATGCAATGCATCTTTTGATTTCTTGACTGCTGCTCCCATGGGGGCTGATTGTGGATTCAAGTAAAATGAAATCCTTAACAACTTCAATCTTTTCTCCATTTATCATGATGTTGCTTATTGGTCTAGTTGTGAGAATTTTTGTTTTCTTTATGTTGAGGTGTAATCTATACTGAAGGCTGCAGTCTTTGGTTTTCACGTGCTTCAAGTCTTCTTCACTTTCAGCAAGCAAGGTTATGTCATCTGCATAACACAGGTTGTTACTGAGTCTTCCTCCAGTCCTGATGCCCTATTCTTCTTCATATAGTCCAGTTTCTGGGAATATGTGCTCAGCTTACAGACTGAATAAGAATAGTGAAAGGATACAACCCTCATGCACTCCTTTCCTGACTTTTAACCATGCAGTATCCCCTTGTTCTGTTCCAACAACCGCCTCTTGATCTATGTACAGGTTCCTCATCAGCACAATTAAGTGTTCTGGAATTCCCATTCTTTGCAATGTTATCCATGATTTGTTATGATCCACACAGTCAAATGCTTTTGCATAGTCAATAAAACACAAGTAATCATCTTTCTGGTATTCTCTGCTTTCAGCCAGGATCCATCTGACATTAGCAATGATAACCCTTGTTCCACATCGTCTTATGAATATGGCTTGAATTTCTGGCAGTTCCCTGTTGATGCACTGCTGCAACCGCTTTTGAATGATCTTCAGCAAAATTTTACTTGTGTGTAATATTAATGATATTGTTTGATAATTTTCGCATTTGGTTAGATCACCTTTCTTTGGAATGGGCACAAATAGGGATCTCTTCCAGTCAGTTGGCCAGGGAGCTGTCTTCCAAATTTCTTGGCACAGACGAGTGAGCACTTCCAGCACTACATCCATTTGTTGAAATATCTCAGTTGGTATTCCATCAACTCCTGGGGACTTGTTTTCCAATGCCTTCAGTGCAGCTTGGACTTCTTCCTTCAGTACCATTGGTTCTTGATCATATGCTACCTCTTGAAATGGTTAAAAGTCGACCAATTCTTTTTGGTATAGTGATTCAGTGTATTTCTTCCATCTTCCTTTGATGCTTCCTGCATCGTTCAGTATTTTGCCCATAGAATCCTTCACTATTGCAACTTAAGGCTTGAATTTTTTCTTCAGTTCCTTCAGCTTGAGAAATGCTGAGTGGGTTCTTCCATTTTGGTTTTCTAACTCTAGGTCTTTGCACATTTAATTATAATACCTTACTTTGTCTTCTGAAGCTGCCGTTTGAAATCTCCTGTCCAGCTCTTTTACTTCATCATTTCTTCCTTTCAATTTGGCCACTCGACATTCAAGAGCAAGTTTCAGAGTCTCTTCTAACATCCATTTTGGTCTTTTCTTTCTTTCCTGTCTTTTTAATGACCTTTTGCTTTCTTCAAGTATGATGTCCTTGATGTCATTCCACAACTCGTCTCGT